TGACCCAAAACAGGTTCTCTGTCCCTCCCATAAATAAAGACAATGCTGAAGCGTTTGTGTTGGACATATTTTATTTAAAAATTAAGCCTGGCTAACAAGCCCCCAATTGGGGGCCAAACCCCCATCTGGCTGCAGCATCATAACATCCCTGCATCTCCCCCCCACACACCTCCAACCCTGAGCCTATCATACACTGGAACCCCTTGTCCTGAGCCTCTCACATCTCCAGTCTTCTGCCACAACACTAGTGCACACTCCACACACTGCAAATCTGTGTCCTGTGCCCATCATACTCCCAACCCTCCTGCCCCTCACATACCCCAACCTGAACTCCTGCACCCTCATGTCCACAAACCTGTGGTTTGCTCAGCACCCCAACCCTACATCTGACCCCAACACTCTCCAGCCTGGAGATCTCTCCCTGAGCCAGCAGCCCCTTCTCCACCTCCTCCTGCACCTAAATTCCCCCCCAGAGTTTGCACTTTTCATCCCTTCCCATACAGGGGCGGCCCGTCAGCCTAGACGAGCTAGGCAGCTGCCTAGGGCGCCGCTGGTCTGGGCACCTGATGATGACATCATGGGGCGCCGGGGCACCACATGATGACGTCACAGCCATTGATGGCTGTGCAGGCAGGGGCACCAATTGCCAAGTTTTTGTGTTTATTTTTAATTTTAAATTATGAATTGATTTTTTTGTTAAAAGGGGTGTTGGATGATGGTAAAAAAGAAGTGGGGGGTGTGAGGGCTTCTCAAAAATCAAAAGGGGAGTCTGATGCCGAAAAATTTGGAAACCACTGTCCTGGAGGGAATGAAACAGAAGCGGTCATCATCAAGGGTGTGTCCACACAGCAACCTAAACTTGACATAAGATACCAATTGAAGCTCTGCAGATTGCATATCTTATTTCAATTGTATTTTGAAATAGCTTATTTCAAAATTCGGTGCATCTAAACAGCACCAAATTTTGAAATATTGCGCTATTTCAACACATCCCTTAACTCTCGTGGAATGACAGTTACAGGGATGCCGAAATAGCGTGCCCATTACTTTGAAAAATATTTTGAAAGAATGAGCATGTTTAAAAGACATGGGGTAGCTATTTCAGGATACCTCTGATATCCTGAAATAGCCCTGCTGTTTAGACATACTCCAAGTGATCTATCCCGTTTCCCAATCCCAGCTTCTGACAAACAGAGGCTAGGAACACCATTCCTAGCTAATACCCATGGATGGACCTCTCCTCCATGAATTTGTTTAGGTCTTTTTTGAATGGTGTTATAGTCCTGGCCTTCGCATCATCCTCTGGCGAGGAGTTCCACAGGTTGACTATAGCTGTATAAAGAAATACTTCCTTTTGTTTGTTTTAAACATGCTACCTAATAATTTTATTATTATAATTTTTAACTGAAAAAAATCCGAGTTCTATTAACTTCTCCCTATTGGAGGGAATAAGCAGCAAGGCCCCAATGAAAGTTGAACTCATAACCTGTGGTTTATCAGGTCAGTGCTCTAACCACTGAGCTACGGAGCCATATTTAAAAGCAATATGAGGATTACATTGATACATTTTCCCCAGTCCTCTGCCATCATAAATAGCTGACCATTTATCTGTTGTGATATGGCTTGATAACTTTTGTCAGTTTTTGAAAACAAAAATGGTTCAGTTAGATGAGGTAGGCTGATGCGATTTACAAGGTTCAATGTCAGGATTGTAAGGAAACCCTCAGCATATTCAGTGGCTCATGGAAGGGTATGGATGACTGTAGTATACTCTGGTGTGTGTAGCTGGTAACTGTTTTTAGTCTAAAGAGGCAACTGTAATTATGTAGGAGAGAACTGCATTAACAGAAAGGACATATATTGTGATGACTTTACATTTTTTTCTTTGTTTTGTTTCTGTTCTTTTAGCCAAAACAATGAGTAGTCTTATGGCACTTTAGAGACTAACAAAAATACATAGGATCGTGAGCTTTCCTGGGTAAAACCCACTTCATCAGATGAGTTAGAGTGGAAATAACAGAATCCAGTTCTGCAGTTTCTGGTTGTAACTGGGTGATGAAATTCCTTTGTAGAAGAATGGCTACTTTTCAACCCATGACTGAGTGCCCAGGTAGGTTGAAATGTCCCCCCAACACCATATTCTACAGGCCTCTTTCCTCTGATCCCACTGAGGAATACCAAAAGAAACTATATCCTTTGCTCCCACATCCCATCCTATTCCCAAATTCCCTCCCAGAGCCTGCACCCAGAACCCTTTCCATCACTTCAGGCCAGAGCCAGCACCCATATTACCTTCTTGAGTCTGCACCCCAGATCCCCACCAGCACCCAAACTGCCTCCCAGAACCGGCACCCCAGACCCCCACATTCATCCAAGCCTCCCAAAGCTCTACCTCTCATCCCACCTGCACCTAAACTTCTTCACTGAATCTGCCCCTTTTTGTCTCCTAATCTGCCTCTCCGGTCCAGAGCCTGCACCCAGCAGCCAAACTCCCTGCCAGAGCCCACACCCACAGCTACCCCGTTCATAGGATGGTTCGGGGGGCCGTCCCAGAACCCAGGCTTTTGGGGGAGACAGGGCCCATGCTAGCTGCCTCAATCAGGGAGGTACCTGGAGGGAGGGGCCTGGCATGGGGCAGCAGCATGGGGACCTTCTCCCCTCCTTCTGCACTCACAGCAGCAGTGGGATCCAGGGCGACTTGGCAATCCCCTCTGCTCCACCCCAATGTACTCCCCCCAGCCCACTGTGCTCCACTTCACAGCCGCAGCAGGAAGCAGAGTGCCCCAGCCCAAGCCCTAGGGCGCTCCACTTTCCATCACTGTGGAGAAGTGAAGCACAGTGGGCTGGGAGGGATAGTGGGGTGAAGCAGTTGGCTGCACTGCTCTGGCTTGCACTGCCACAGTGAGTGCAGGAGAGGGCTGACCCCTGCTGCCGCCCGTGCCAGTTCCCCCCAACAATCCCCCAGCTTGCATTAGGGATGTAATAGTATAGCCGATTAACCGATAAGCAAAAGCATATAGGTTAGTGCTATAAACTACCTGCATTTCTTCCCCACCCCATCCCTTGCCAGGACATTTTTTGGCAAGCTGGCCAGCAGCCCAGCTCAGTCCCAGCTTGCACTGGGTCCTGGACCTACCCCCGCTGCAGCTCTGCATTTAAAGTGTATTAGGAGCCAAGCGGGCAGGCAGCCCAGCTCAGTCCCGGCTTGTTCTGGGTCTGGGAGCTCAGGGCCCTCTCCCTAGACAGGGGCTGCTATAGAATAGTCAACGAACCCATAAGAATTCACGAGATTAATCGACTATTCAATTAACCAATATTTAACATCCCTAGCTTGCATTGCTCTGGGGATGGGGCTTTGATGAGGGGGCAGGGCAGGGGAAGGGTGGGAGTGGAGCAGGGTAGGAGGGAGCAGAGGTGGGGTGGGGCCTGCTGTGGGGAGGTTCTCCTGGGCCTCATGCCTGGGGCACTAGGGAGTTACCCAAGACCCTGCATACCCCCCCCCCCCCCCCTCCACCCAAACTCCTCAGAGCCTTAGGCAGGTGGGGGCGGGGGTGGAAGTTTGAGTGGGAAAGGGGATGTGGACTCTGGGCATTCTGGACACCACCAAAAGTTTTGCAAGCCTCTCACCCTGAATGAGAGGACCTAATGAGGTCCCTTCCAGTCCTGCATCTCTATGATTCTATGGTGTGAATGATGCCTACCCTTACCTGGAGAGAGGCATCCTTGTCTGAGGTGCAGCAACCCACTTAGGTACAAAAAGGTTACCGCTACCTGACAAACAGAGGCCAGGGACACCATTTCTATCCCCCGGCTAATAGCCTTTTATGGACCTAACCTCTATGAAATTATCTAGTTTCTCTTTAAACTCTGTTTTAGTCCTAGCCTTCACAGCCTCCTCTGGCAAGGAGTTTCACAGGTTGACTACACGCTGTGTGAAGAAGCACTTTCTTTTATTAGTTTTAAACCTGCTACCCATTAATTTCATTTGGTGTCCTCTAGTTCTTCTATTATGGGAACTAATAAATAAATTTTCTTTATTCACCCTCTCCACACCACTCATGATTTTATATACTGCTATCATATCCCCCCTCAGTCTCCTCTTTTCTAAACTGAAAAGTCCCAGTCGCTTAGCCTCTCTTCATATGGGACCTGTTCCAAACCCCTAATCATTTTAGTTGCCCTTGTCTGAACCCTTTTCAAGGCCAAAATATCTTTTTTGAGGTGAGGAGACCACATCTGTACACAGTATTCAAGATGTGGGCGAACCATAGTTTTATACAGGGACAGTAAGATATTCTGTGTCTTATTTTCTATCCCTTTCTTAATAATCCCTAACATCTTATTTGCCTTTTTGTGTGGAAGTTTTCAGAGAACTGTCCACGATAACTCCAAGATCTCTTTCCTGATTTGTCGTAGCCAAATTAGCCCCTATCATACTGTACATATAGTTGGGGTTATTTTTGCCGATATGCATTAGTTTACACTTATCCGCATTAAATTTCATTTGCCATTTTGTTGCCCAATCCCTCAGTTTGGTGAGATCTTTTTGAAGTTCACAGTCTGCTTCTGTCTTGACTATCTTAAACAGTTTTGTATCATCCACAAATGTTACCACCTCACTGCTCACCCCTTTCTCCAGATCATTTATGAATAAGTTGAACAGGACTGGTCAATTGGTCATACAAGGACCAGTGTCAATTGTGTCTCTCCGCACACAGGACCTGATTCCCCTCTCACATTGGTTTGATAGTCATGTAACTGCACTACCTTCTAGTTGAGTTACTCAAGATTTATGCTGGTGGAAGTGAGATCAGAAGGAGGCCCATATACATTACCTGACACATCTTCCATGACTCCTTGCACATGACGTATGAACTAGTCTCATGCAGTGCTGTCAGGAGTCCCAGCAGTAGCATGTGGAGAAGTGAGTAAAAAAGATTGGCAGTGAAAAAGGGGAAATTTCTGGGCAGAGAAAAAAGTGGGAGGGTCAGGATGACAAGCACAGAAGCCAGAGTTGCTTATATAGAGAGCATGCTTCCTATTAGTTTCCCCATTGCTGTTCCCTTCATAGCTTCGCCTCAGCGACTAGTTGTCATCTATTGCAACATGTGGGCAAAGGTATTGCTTTATTTTTCTGCATTTTAAGTCTGTCTTTTCATTTTAACCTTTTGTAGCTTTCATTGTTCATTCTTCTGTAGGCTCCTATGGGGCCTGTAGTTCATCTGCTTTACATTTGTTATGTTCTTTAACAAAGAAAAGAGGGAGAAATCATACCGATTTGACACACAAAATCATGTTCCTTCTTTGTTTCATCAATAGATTAGGCAGAGTGAATAATCCTGTTATTCAGAAACCTGGATTTCTGAGAAAAGTCAGTGGGAAACAGGGAGTTGTGGCAGTTGCAAGATTTTGCTCTGTTGCTTCTCTATATTGGGAATTCTGCTCAAATGAAGGATTTGATCATTGTGCTGTAAATTAGATGTATCTTGGAAAACAAGGAACCCAAATCTGAACTAATTTTTGAAGCATTGTGTTTCATCTTTCCTTTTTAAAGTATCTTTAGTCACTACAACTCTTGGGGGAAAGTACCAGGTTGACTGCCCTACTGAATGAAGTATGCTCCTTTTCTGGAAAGAACATATCAAAGGCTGAGAAGTGCCAACATTCTATCATGAGCTTTTTCTACTAAGACTAACCAACAGGGTGTCAGTTCCGACCAAGTGTCATGATGGTCTCTGTGATACAGGCAATTGGTCACCAAGATCTGGACTGATACCACCAAACTGGTTTCAGATCTATCTGGTATTTATGGCCCCCATTGCTGTAGTATCAGACCACCTCAGAGTCTGAAATGCATTTAGCCTCTCACAACATCCTGGTGAGGATGAAGGAAATGCTGTTCATCCTTATTTTTATGTATGGAGAAATGAAGCACAGTGAGACTAAGGCCCAGATTTGTAAAGGTATTGAGATGTTGCTCTGCTCAGTATTACAAGACCCAAGAGACTTAAGGGCTGTGTTTACACTGGGCCTCTTATTCCGGAAAAGCAACCGCTTTTCCGGAATAACTTGCCAGCTGTCTACACTGGCCGCTTGCTTTTCCAGAAAAGCAATGACGATCTACTGTAAAATTGTCAGTGTTTTTCCGGAAAAACTATGCTGCTCCCATTCAGGTAAAAGTCCTTTTCTGGAAAAACTGTTCCGGAAAAGGGCCAGTGTAGACAGCACAGTAGTCTTTTCCGCAAAAAAGCCCTGATCGTGAAAATGACGATCGGGGCTTTTTTCTGGAAAAGCGCATCTACATTGGCCACGGACGCTTTTCCAGAAAAAGTGCTTTTCCAGAAAAGCATCCTGCCAATGTAGACGCGCTTTTTCCGGAAATACTTATAACGGAAAACTGTTCTGTTTTAAGCATTTCTGGAAAAGGGTGCCAGTGTAGACGTAGCCAAGGTGTGTCTATACTGCAGCCAGAGTTGTAAATTCCAGTTCAGGCAGCCATATGTGCAATAGCTTCCATTGAGCCAGCACACTAAAAATACCACTCTATCTGTGGCATTGCAGTAAGCTGGGTATAGGAGGAATCCAAGGGTATGTCTACACTGCAGAGTTATTTTGGGATCCCGGAAGTATCCCCAAATAGCTATTCTGCATCTATTGAGCAGCCTGTTATTTTGAAATCGATTTTGAAATAAGAGGCGGCTTATTCCGATGTTCTGGTAACCCTCATTCCACAACGGATAAGGGGCATTTCGAAATAGTGAGTTTTTTCAAAATTTGGCGCTGTGTAGATAGCACCAAATTAAGAAATAAGCTATTTTGAAATAGCATTGAAATAAACTACACAATTTTCATTATGTAAATTGCACAGCTTATTTCAAGCTAAGGATGCTGTATTGACACACCCCCTAGGCTACGTCTACACTACAGGCTTTTTGTGCAAGAACAGCCGTTCGTGCGCAAAAACTTGTAGAGCATGTACACTGCACACGCATTCTTGCTCAAGTAAATTTACAGTAAAGCATTGGAACAGAGGGCTTCTTGCGCAAGAGTTATTCCTCTCCCCATGAGGAATAAGCCCTCTTGCGCAAGAAGGCAGTGTGAACAGGCAACGGGTTTCTAGCGCAAGAAACCCCTGTGGTTAAAATGACCATGAAAGCTTTCTTGCGCAAGAGAGCATCCACACTGCCATGGATGCTCTTGTGCAAAAGCACATGGCAGTGTGGACGCGCGCTTGCGCAAGACCTTTTGCACAAGAACTCCTGCGCAAAACAGTTCTTGCGCAAGAAGCCTGCAGTGACAGCATCTGAGCCTCCAATAAAGTGCGTTATTTCAGAACTATTGTTACCTCTGTGAAAGGTATTGATACCTCTCCTAATGGGCGAATTCTTTTTCAAGTGCTGGAATAGAGATGAGATTATTTTGGTCCAGTAGTTCATGATGCCCTGCTGTACCTCCATACCATGATCTATTGCATTACACAGGGTTCTATCATCTCCCCAATCCAAGTTAATGTTTGGGAGAGATTGTGAGATGTCACTGATTTCAGTGCCAGCAATAGCTGGATGAAGTCAATCTTTGCTTGGGGCACCAAAGGAAATGCAAACAGCTCCCACGTTTCCCAGAGCTAGAACCAGATTAACTTGCGAATTAAGACTGATACTGAATGTGGACAAGATAGAGGTGATTGGCTGGAAGCCCTAATCTGCTCATGCAGTACAAAATGAACTTAGATTGCCCAGAGATACCTCATGGGGAATTTTCCAAGTGTAGGGAGACTCTCTAGCTAATATAAAGCCAGGTTTACGCTACAGGAGCAAGTTGACCTAAGATACACAACTCCAGCTATGAGAATAGTGTAGCTAGAGTTGATGTACTTTAAGTTTAATTTCTGCAGCATCCCCACTGCAGGAGCTCAATGGGAGAAACTCTCTTGGTGGCTTCCCTTAGTTGTCATGACCCAGTGGAGCACCGAGGTTGAGGGAGGCCACATTAATGGTTGATTCAGTGGGACTTTACTAGGACCCTGCTAAATCAAACCCTGGGACATTGGTCTCCATAGTGCCAGACTCGGGGTAAGTGAAGACAAGCCCTTAAGACAGGCTCTACCCTCACCAATGATACTTCCCCCACCAAAGCTGCACTGTCTAGCATAAATGGAAGAAGGGCTATGTTGAGGTCAGAGAGAGGATGTGTTGGGTGAAGGCAGGCAGGGAGTAGTCAAAGGGGATGAAGTATTCAGGGGAGGAGATATGCTGGAGTAAGGTGATGTTGCACCTGAGGTTCATTAAAATTACTCCCCCATCAGCCTTAAATCATTCCAGGGTTGGATAATGCAAAATGAGGGAGGTGTCATCAGATTACGGCCAGCCCCCACAGTCTGTCTAGTACTTGAGCTTTGCTTGGGCATGGGGAGATCTGAACCCATTGCTGGAAGGGAAAGGTAAGAACATTTTGAAGAACCAGCCAACATCAAAATCTCACCGTCAGTTGAAATGTCTGCCTTGAAGATGGCAAGATGGTACACAACCCAGACTCTGTTATTAGATGCACAAAGACCAACAGCTGCTAGAGATTTCTTCTTCCACCTAAAGTTAGACATGCAACTATGCCCTAGCTTATCCAGATTTGATCACAGTTATTTATGCAATCATAATTGGTTCTCTTAATCACTACGGTCCACTGAGAATGAAAGCGAGGGCCTTATCACCTTAAGGATTATTTTTCCATTTCTCCTCCATAGCCTCCCCACAACAAAACTAATCACCCAGTAAAAAAGAGCTAATTAAAGGATATGAAGGGGACAAAAAGGGAGGTAAGATATTTTTATTTGACCAACTTCTGTTGGTGGAAGTGATATGTTTTAATCTACACAGAGCTCTGCAAAACTTTGACCAATAGAAGTTGGTCTAATAAAAGATATTATCTCCTGTGCCTTGTCTCTCTCTTCCTGGGACAACAACACTACAAACGTACTCTGAGGTATGACAAAGAGAGAAAGGAGGAAGCAAGAGTGGATGTTGGAAGGAAACAGAAAAAAGAGAAATAACCATATTCCCGTATGCTCAGGGGAAAAGAGGGGAAGTGAATCAAAACTCGGTTAATTTAAACCTGAGGTTGACTTTATGCAATTTGTGTAAGACCATCCTTTACCTAGTGATGGAGGAAGTATAAATTATTGGTGAATAAAGCCAGAACACTATAAGTTCCATAATTTAGACCTGAGAGTATAAAAGCAAAACAATTTAGTAGAAATAAAAGGCTGAACATTTTTAATGTTTTCTTTTAAATTGAGACCTCTATTTTCTCCCCCCAGACTGTAACTGAAAATTTTGCTGGTGTTATCCATGGTTTGAATGCAAGCCATCTGACAGACCTAGCCATTCAGAGAAGCAAACGGATGATCCTGGATACTTTGGGAGTGGGGCTGCTTGGTACCAGCACATCAGTCTTCCACAAAGTTATACAATACAGTAAAGTAAGATGCTTGAACTTCACATTATAGAAAAGTTATAGATAAAATAAAATTGAGGAAAAAGTACATTTAGGGAAAAGCTCCCAATGGTGAGCTATATTAGAAGGTAGAATTGTTTCCTTGAAGCAGGAGAGACAAAAGACTCACTTGTGGGTTGTGGGGGGGGGGGGGTTACACGCCTGGAAGGGGTGGGGCCTTGGGAGGAAGGAGCATGGCATCCAGTCCTTAGCACCACCCAGACTGCACTGCACCTCTCCATGCACAAGCTCTCAGCGCCATCTGCAGCACACTATGAGGGGCTCCAGCAACGATTTATAAGACTTAGGTCTCCAGACACTGCTTGAGACACTGGGCCCTGGGGCAGTTGGCAGGCCCACGCCTGGAAGGGGTGGGGCCTTGGGAGGAAGGAGCATGGCATCCAGTCCTTAGCACCACCCAGACTGCACTGCACCTCTCCATGCACAAGCTCTCAGCGCCATCTGCAGCACACTATGAGGGGCTCCAGCAACGATTTATAAGACTTAGGTCTCCAGACACTGCTTGAGACACTGGGCCCTGGGGCAGTTGGCAGGCCTGCCTTGAAGGTAGGAAAGCTCCACTGATGGAAAATATGCTGTATGGAAAATCCCTGCACAGTAAGCAAAACATAGACTAGATAACCTACCAGGTCCTTTCTCTCACACCTGGATGAACATGGGTGCTGGCTTCTTCTTTTCCCTGGGGGTGCTCAGCTCCCACTCAGCCCCACGCTTTGCTCACCCCTGTCCTGCCCAGTCCTGCCCCTCCCTCACATGTACCCTGTCCTAGCTCCTCCCGTCTCCCCAGCTCCTCCTGCATGCCACAGAATAGCTTCTCTGCAGCAGGCAGGAGATGCTGGAAGAAAGGGGATGGAGCTGATTGGCGGGAATGCTGGCAGGCAGGAGGCAAGAGAGGAGCTGGCTGTCATGGGTACTAAGCACGCACTGATGTTTTTATCCATGGATCTTTCATGCTAAGAAAGACATCAGCAAAACAAACAATATTAAGACTGCTCTAAAATATTATAATACACAAGATACAGGAATATTAAATACACAAAATGTAGGTAATTTCTAGTACATATACTGTTGTATAGAAACTTTGGCTCTGGTTCCTCTCCAATCTCCTGTCACTTACATAAGGGAAACTCTTAGCACTTCAGTGGTATCATTCATGGCATAAATTCAGGCCTATTATTTTATTTTAGAAGGTCCTGGTAGGTTGGAATTGTGTTCCGGAAATGTGCAGAGAGGACTCTCCCTAAATGGCTGCTTCTCTGCCACTTTGTCCTTTCCTTGAATCTCAGGGAGGCCTTTCAGGAATTCATGTAAGGGGAGATACAGGGGGATGGGTGGTGTGGGTTGTCCAGAAGCAGGAGGCCACAAGCAGCATCCAACAGAGGTGGTAAGGAGAAGCCCGAGTCTCTCATTTTATTTCAGAGACACTTGTGAAGGAATTGGGGAAAGTCCCTGGCAGTTGTGGCCAGTGGATCTTGGAGGAGGGGATACCAATGACTCAAGAGGCTATGGAGGCACAGAACTTATTTGCCTGGCCTCCTGCTGATCCCCTGAGATCTACAAGGTAGAGGGGTGGGTCTCATGATTTAGTTTGCAGGACAGAAAACTTTTTCACCACACCTCTTGATAGAACACTAGAGTGGAGTGACTTTGAAGGGACATTCCTGGGGTTTTCTTCTCTTAGAGGAGGTTCAAATTCAGTCCCAAATTTTGATGCGTTACAGCAGCATTCTGCACCCTTTGGTAGTTCAGATTATTCCACTCATTTAATCTCAACAGCAGATAGAAATAATTGCTTTGTAAATAATGAAAAGAGTAAGAGGGAGGCATGAAGTATTGTCTTATACTTGAGTTCAGGATTTTGCATTAAATGATATCCAATTACTCCCAGATCTACAGTTCAGATGTATCCAGCACAGTCTGGGGGCGCTCAGATTTCAGACTTCCTCCTCTGTATGCAGCTTTTGTGAATGGAGTAGCTGTAAGTAACATCTTCTCTCTCTGGTCTACATCTGCTTTTATAAGCCATGTGCAGTGATATTTTACATTTATTTTCTGTACATTTGTTAATTTATTTCATTCTTGTGGCTGATGCCAGATTTATGGCTGCTATAAAACGGCCTTAAACTGTCCTACCAACTCTCCATTTTGTACATGCTCCATTTTATCAATAAAATGATGACTGGCCCTAAGAAATGTAGTCTCAATTCAGACCCAACCTGCAGTTAATGGCATTCCACCCGTTTACGCCTGATTTGAATTAGACCTGTTCTGAATTATGTAAAAATAGTGAAGGTGCCAATCTAAGGAAATGGTGCATTAAGAATGCTCAAACTAGCTGTGGCGATGAGGTCTTAAGTTAAAGACCTCATTTCAAATGTAGGAAAAATTGTTTTTGAAATGACACTTAGTGTCCCTAATGCTCTCTAGAAGGTGCTCAAGTTTGACAGTTAATACATTTAGAATGTCCAAATCCTATATATGATAATTCCTTCATTCATTAAGGTCATAGGTCAAACCCAAGACCTCACCGAACATCAAAGGAAAACTGCTTTACTAATAGCACAAGGCATAACCCTCAGCCCCCATTAGGACAGAATGTTTTCATAGCTGACCTCAAAACTCTTCAGGGCAGGAACAGTGTATACTTCTGTTTGTATAGTATGTAACACAACAACGATCTGACAGGCTCTCTCTGTTACCATGATGGTTGGGGGCATTGGTATTGACCCTTGTATTTAGATTGCCTGACATATTCCATTATATAAGATTATTGCCACCTTTCTTTAGATGGGCTAACTCATCCCATGTCTGCAGCAGGCTTTTGGAATGTGGCAAGGTAATAGCCTGGAAACAAGAAAAGTCTCTTTTCTCTCATTCATTGGGTCTGGTTTTGCTCAGATATAAACTGTTAAAAACAACCTTTCCCTGTGTGGCTTAAGTTCCCGAGGGAAAATTTTGGCAGCCTGCCAGTATAATAACTGAACACTCAAAACATTTCTAAGTACAGGACTGGGGTGCTGCTATATCAGCAGCAACAACACACATAGGGAGAGGTGACACACACACTCCTATATACCTTTTTTTAACACACGGGGGGTGTTAGAAACCAACCTGACCCTTCCTGCCCAGTACTCTCACCTTTCCACCTCTATGCCTGGCTTAGCCCCCAGCACAGACCCACCTCTCCTGGAATGTGGTGCTGTGTCTTCTCAAGGCAACATGTGGGGGGCACATGTCCCCCCTCTCCAGATTTCTGCCAGGGTTCACACCAGAATGTGGCCAGCAGGAGCCTTTCTGCACTATGCAAGAGGGAAAGGATGGGAGCTGCTTCCAGCTGCCAGGGGTTGGGGGAGGTATGACCTGGCCCATGTCTTTGCAGAGCTCATCTCCTTTTCCTTTCTGCTCATCTATGGCTCGTAGCAGCTTGCACCTTCCTGCACACTGTTGAAAGGCAGCTAACAGCTCCAGACTGTTGCTGGTCACCGACATAAGCCTGTTGCCTCCTGTCCTGCAGCTACAACATAGCCTGGAAGGAGTTAAGTGCTAAGGGTGCATTGTGCACTGGCGCCCAGGCAACCTGACTACAGGGGTTTCAGCAAACCCAGCCAGAGAAGTGGCTCAACAGGGGAGGGAGCCTAGGGGACAGAGCTAGGGTTGCCAGATGGTTTAACCAAAAATACCGAATACCTCCCCATCCCCCCCCAAAAAACACAGAGGAAAAAATTCTGTTGAAGAAAAAAAAAAGGGAGACCAAAGGACCCCAAGAGTTAAGCAAAAATATAAATAAAAAATACAAAAATACAAAAACCCAGCATGGCCCCTTTAAGAAATGCTTTTGAGGCTTTTTGGCCCTAACAGGTTGCTGATGGCCAATCTGCCATCTTGTCTTCCTGCTCGGGGCCAGAGAGCTCCCCTGCGGAACCAGGATTTTTGCCTCCTGACCGGGAAAAAAATCAGAACATACCGGACATTTTAGGTGTCCGTTATTTTCTGAATTTTTTAACCCGACAGGAGGCAAAAATACCGGACACCTGGCAACCCTAGACATAGCAGCCCCCTGCTCCCTAGGTGAGGAGGGTGTTAGCCCATTTCCTGGGGGCAGCTGTGAAGCCTTCAGCGTCAGGCATGAACAGTCTGGAAATCGCTTTTTCCCCCTTCCACTCCAGAGCTTAGCTGAGAGGCAGAGAGGCTGCCCGTGCCAATGCTGTGTGGAGCTTTGGCTTCAGCTTTTCCTAGCTAGCACCTGGGGCTGAATGTCTTGGGATTTCCCAGGACCCCGCTCAACCAGAGGCAGTGGGGGAAGGAAGGAGCCTGCTGCCCAGGCTGTTGGTGAGCTGAGTGCACTGACCAGGGGCTGCTTCTCCACTAGGGATGTTCATGGTTAACCACTTACAGTTAACTGGTGGGGGCTGGAGCGCCACCCCTGCCTGCCGACAGGGGCACTCCAGCCTGTTCAGAACAGACCCCACGGGCAAAGGCATTCCAGCACAGCACCCGTCTGCAGCAGGGGAGCTGCTCCAGCCCACCCACCCCCATTTAATTGGTTAATCAGTCAAACTTAATGTTTAACCTGTTAACTAATTAAATGGGATTTTATATCCCTATTATCTACACAGTGCTGGGGGCGGGACGTGCCCCACCTGAGGAGATATAGAGGAGCAGTGGGACTTAGATGATAGTGAAGGGGCAGCAGGGAGAGGACAGAGGGGGAGCACATAAAAGGCTGACATTTTGATATGTAACATGTATTTTACATAAATAACGTCCACACTCATAAACCTACTTCTGTTGTCACTTAGTAAAATGCACTAGAAACATTTTACTGGCATCTCAATGTCAGTTAGGGTTATGGGGTTTTATAGATATACCAGCATAAGCGCTAATGTTCATGCAGTTATACATACAGCATGCCTATGCCAATATAGCTTATTTTACTTCCTGAAACAAAATAAACTATGCCAGTATTTTGTATCAGTATAACTGTGTCCTCGCAAATTTATTTTTTCTGCTTAAATTATATCCATGGAACTGCTTCTGTCTCTGCTTCTTCCCCATGAGGCGGATCTGGCGTGAAGGCTCAAGGCTTTCTCCCTCCCCGCCCTCCCCCCCAGCAGATAGCCATGCTGGCGTTCCAACCGGGGGGAAGGGACGGAAAAGTTGGAGGGCCAGTGAGGGCTTCCAGTTGTGGGGGAAGAGAGAACGGGGGGACTGAGATCGAGCCAAAGGCCACCTGCAAGGCATCCATGGACCACTAATGGTTCACAGACCCCAGTTTGAGAACTACTGCTTTAGAATTACACTTCTTTAAAGCTAATGAAATTGAGATCTGACTTAAGCTCCCTTTCTGCAAAGTCTGTAATATTCTCAATTTTCATTTTCATGTATAACTCAATACAAAGAAAGCATAGCTAAAAATAAAGATTACCCTGAAATTAAATGAAATTCTTAATTGATATTGGTTAAAATCTTTTCATTTGGGAAGGGAATTAACTGAACTTGCCAAGACAAACAATGAATCTCTGGTTATAAATCAAGACCTTTCTCTTTTGCACAAGGTTCACTCAATGGATTTTGATGACACGTGGCATCCAGCCACCCACCCATCTGGGGCTGTGCTTCCTGTTCTGATTGCTGCCTCAGAAGTCCTCCCTCAAAAGCAAAAATTGTCTGGCCTTGATCTGCTCTTAGCTTTCAATGTAGGGATTGAAGTACAAGGCAGATTGATGCGCTTTTCCAAGGAAGCCAGCAATATTCCAAAAAGGTAGGTAAAGGATATTTGAAATAGAGTGTTTGGGTTGCATGGAGGTGCTTTGTTCATTTTTTATATAATTGAGAGTTAAAACCAATACTCGTTTCCCATCTCCAGTTACTCTCCCAGGAACCTCCCTAGAACTGCCTTTTTGTGAGACTTTTAAAAGGTCTGAATAAATTAATTTCTTTCATAGCTAGAGACAACCGGTCAGCATCATCTATTCCACTTCAGGTTTCAAAATGATGACTGTTGCACAGCTAATTTCATTTTCCATGTGGCTCCATCTAATCTCTAAATGAAAACGACTTTATTGTAATTTTTGCCTTTTAGAAGCACAATAGGTCACATTGTCTTTTTAGTGGGGCATTGTTTCCTGTGCAGTCACTGGGACATTTGAAAAGATTCCCTTACCCCTTACATTGATTCAAAATAGTTGAAAAGAGGCCTGGGGGGAAACTCTTTGTCAGTTTTCAATCAGACATGGGAATGCATCTATTCAGATGTTACTTTGAAGACCATCACTTGCTCCCAGAAATGAGGATTCATCTCTCCCTAGAACAAAGCTTGGGCTCGGCATAGTCCCAGAATAAACAGGCTCTAGACTCAAGATGGCCTCAAAGCAGCTCAGGAACAAACAAACAAAACAAAACAAAACAAAAAAATTCCTCTCCACCAGGATGTACACTTTGTTGTTGCTGTCACATCCCTAGATTTATCTGCTGCTTTGCTGCTCACTACATATGGAGTAACAGAGTTAGCGGTCTACGATAAAGCAATTATAAAGGACCACATTCACAAAACTACTTCAGTGTTGGCCCTGTTGTACTAAGCTATTGGTATTTTGGACATAGATGGTTCCACACACTGTGGAGTGCCTACAGAATTGGACCTCATTGACAAGATTGCATGTCGGGGACAGATCTGGTTTGAGGAATCTGCTTTTTGACCTTCAGTTTGTGGTAGGGCTCCAAGTACAGGTTGAATCTCTCTAGTCTGGTACTCTCTGGTCTGGCATGATTTTAGTTAGCCAAATGTCCACTTATCATGGGTGTGGCCAAGTTTCCTGTGGTCCCATAAAGTTGTTTTATAGACAGGAGTCCTGGCTCTCAGTGTACTGTGCTGTTATTTAGCTCTAATTTAACTCCAAATGTCTTCTAAGAGCCCAGTGAGCAGTAGAAGTGTTGGTAATGCTGCTAGACAATACTGACCTCCTGTGGTTTGGCAAATTCTCTGGTTCAACACCAGTTCCTGAGGGTGCCAGACTAGAGAGGCTCAACCTGCAGCTAATTAGCTTTTGGTGGCATCAGGATGTAGTTGGCTTTTCACAAGCCTGCCAGCAGTGTTCCCTGTAAGCTGTGCACTTGGGTGGCCAACCAGGAGAGATTGAAATGCCTTCAGCTGATTAGCAGAGTGCTCACAGCTGCTCACAGCCAACGGCATGTGTTTCTACTTATGGTGCACATCCACACATACCATGGTGCACATAACAAAATTGATTTTTCACAGGGATGGAAAAAAATAGAGGATACATTGCCTGCCACTGGAAAAATTCAAAGGAATTTGGCAGCTGAGCAGAGGTTTTTTGAGAACACCAGTGCTCCTAAATGTTGGTAACATGCCTAAAGAGACAGCTAGGCGTCTTAGTACCTTTGTGAATCTAGTTCAAATCTATTAAACATGCCCTAAACACTTTGTTCTCTTCCCCCCTCCCCCCACAGTAGAACTGTACTCCTTCCCCTGTGTTCAGAGGTTCTGAAGAGATTTGCCTTTGCATTAATAAGTAGCTATTTGGTTCAACAGCTAGGCAAAATGGGAGCTCCACTGGGGTTAGGACTACTGGACTGGATCTTGGGCTTTTAAATATATGCTGATGTATGATCTGATCCAACTCCCACTAAAGTCTGTAAGAGTTGGATGAAGCACTTACAGGGAGTTCTTTCCTAGAATTCATCTCTCTCCTCTGAAATCTGATAATGAACAGCTTTTTTTCTTTTCTCAGGTTTCATCCACCCGCTGTGGTTGGTACAATGGGGAGTGCAGCAGCTGCTGCTAAATTGTTAGCACTCGATCAGTTTAAATGTAAAGAAGCTTTAGCGATTGCTGCTTCTTATGCAGGTGCCCCAATGGCTAATGCAGCAACACAAACCAAACCCCTCCACATCGGCAATGCAGCACGGCATGGCCTGGAAGCAGCTTGCTTAGCATCACTGGGTCTTCAGGGCAATAAACAAATCTTGGACATGGAGTCAGGGTTGGGTGCCTTTTATACAGACTATACACCCCAGATTCTGCCAACTTTACAGTCTTATTCCTGGCTGTTGGATCAACAAGATGTGGCCATCAAGCGCTTTCCTGCTCACCTTGGAACACACTGGGTGGCGGATGCAGTCTCTTCATTGAGGAAGCACCTTGTGCAGGGCGAAGACTCAGTCCCCATTAGTAGAATTAAACAAATTGTTGTCAAAGTCCCAGATGTGAGATACGTGAACAGCCCTTTCCCAGGAACCCAGCCATTCTTTCCAGTTTGCGGCATGTACTGCTCTGTTGGATGGCAGCATCTCAGTTCAGTCATTTAGTGATCAGAGCATTTCTAGGCCAGTGTTAAAGGAGCTGCTCAGCAAAACAAAGCTAGAACATCCTTCTGATAACAAGCCTAGCTTTGAGAACCTTTATTGTGAGGTGAACATTACTCTTCAGGATGGCAACGTGTTCAGTGAACGCTGTGATACATTCTATGGACACTGGAGAAAACCCTTAAGTACAGAAGATCTGAAGAAGAAGTTTCATTCTAATGCTTCCAGTGTGCTCTCATTGGAAGCGGCAGAAGGCATTGTAGAGACTGTGGATAATTTAGAAAAAGTAGAAGACTGTTCTGTGTTAAGTGCATTTCTTAGAGGAGCACAGTTAACCAAAATACTTTCAAAAATACGTTTACCTTGAAAATAATGGACCTTTATTGACTTATCCTCATAGTTACTCCTATGCACTTAGAAGACACCAAAACAAAGAAAACTCTATTGTGTTGCTTTCCTGTAACATGAACAGCATTTATAGCCAGAGCCACAATACTGGACTTAAATGATCATGGTCTGCTGTATCTGTGCCATGCTGGAAGGAAGATCTTGTGCTGACAATGTCCCCCTCCGCCTCTCCCCGATTATCCTTATGTCATTACAAGAAGTGTATCTGAAGGTGCCACAAAAATAGCACTGTTGATGGGAGATTTTTGCTACCAAGTTCTCTACTAACTGGTGCCTGAAAGAAAAGCCTTATCCTAAATGTCCTGCTTCTATTAGAGGATTTGGTTGTACAGATCTGGATTTCAGAGGAATAGGGCAGTTACTCCTACTGGTAGGGAAGCAGTTGGTAGAAGGTCAGGTAAAGAATAAGCAATTTATAGCTAAACTATATACATATTCTATTTATGCCAAAAGAAAAGTCTAAGACACAAAAGTTGTAATGCTTGGTAGTCTCCAAGAAACATCCCAACTTCACCATCAAACGTAGTCTTGTGTAAGTGAAGTTGACAATAGTGCTCTCTTTCTAATCACAGCATTGGTTAAGATACCCATTTAGTTTCTTTGTTTGGCTGTTTTAAACACATAAGCATTTATTCTTGACAATCTGGTTCTTGCCATAGCCAAAAATCACTCCTGTTTCAAAGTTGCGTGGCACCCCTGTAACTCTGAGGCTGCCTTCTCTCTAGTATCAGTCAAGTCCCATTCCTCCAGCTTCAGTGTTATTGACCAGACATGTTAAGTGATGTATCCTTAGGATGCTTCCCTGTTAAGCCTTGTCAGTGCACAAGACTTCCATCATTAACAAAAACCATGTAACCCATCATTTCAGTATAGTTTTTTTTAAAGAGGGTTTTACTTCTTAAAAGGACATAATCAAGATTTAAATATTTTTACATTAGCAGTAGTGTTATGTTAACACTTTCTTGCATGTTTTACACTGACCTCTATAAAATCAGATTAGTCTTTCTCCAGTACAGAAATGTCTATTTGAAGCTACTAATGGTGACAGTGCAGGCAGATGGGTATCTTGGTTCAAATGCTTAATGGAGCTTCTGCTTTACTGTGGAAGCCATGTGCGCTCTTTGCTTTCTGTTTTAAGAGACTAATTTTCCTATTTGAAGATCTAACCATAGAGATCTACAACCATATTTAGGCACCTCTAATAGCATGCCAGTCCAGGCTGCATATTTAGGTGCCTATGTTTTAAAATGTGGTTAGTATAGGAGGCATGTTTGATATACTCTTCACATTACTGTTATAACTTCAAAAGATGTGGCTGTTAATGTGCTTGTAGTGATGACTTTTAAAAGCTATAAATATTTGTATGATTTTACTCAATAAGATGGTGATGTTTCAATGTTGTACATGAGCTATTTCTTCATGGGGCCAATCTCTTCTATCCTTCAGCCACTTGCATATACAACCTCCTCGGTCACACACAAAGGTATGCTTTTTGGGATCACTTAAAGCAGGTGTTTACGTTCATTTTGTTATATTAAACAAAAGCCTTTCAGTATCATTACTGCCACATTAGAATTCAATCATTTATTATGCTGAAAGAACAACCAACTTCTTTATGTACAGTCGTTCAGCTAGGTGAGGGACTTCTGCAGATGACTGTTAGAGCATGTGTAACTAATGTCATTGGCCTCCACAAAGGGACTTAGGAATTGCCACACGGAGTGTTGTGGCACCTTTTATGCACCTAGAAGCAGCACAGGAACTGCACTATGAGCCACAAAGCCTAAGTTAGGCACCTGTGTTCTCTAGACAAGTGTTTCTCAAACTGTGCTCCGCAGAGCCCCAGGGCTCCGTGAGACATCTCCAAGGGCTCTGCGAGGTTGACAAACTGGAAAGCCTTCAAAAGCATAATTGAGAATTGCCTCGAACTGACACAAATCCAACTTTCTTCTATCATGCCAGACATTGAAGAACTTTGTAAGAATAGAAAGCAAGCCCACTCTTCTCACTAAAAATAATGATTGTTTTTGATTTTGGGCAAAATGCAGTAATTTTTCTTTAAAAAAATGTTGTTTTAAAATCTGAATAAAAAAGTATTGTACAAGTAAATGATTTGTTTGTTAATATTTATGAATAAAACACATACGTTGATAAATATATGTACAAAATTTCACAAAATCTGGAAGTCTTCATCAATAGGTACAACACATCAATAGGTACAACACATACAATCAGTGGACCGCTGGGGTTCCTCATAAATTTTTACGCATGTAAAGGGCTCCGAAGCCCAAAAAGTTTAGGAACCACTGCTCTATACAATGAATAGAGGGAGAAAGAAACCTTAGAATGTGAGCCTTAAAAAGCCATCACACTAGGCCGGGGGCTTCCAATGCTAGCCAAGGCAAAATGACAATGAGAGGTATGACCTAAGCCCTTCCTCTCTTGGAGTTAAGCACCTATCTCTACTTACTAACTCACAAACAGAAAAGTGTCTCCTGGAATAGGATGGCTTTGGTGCCTCAGCAATTTCTTGAATGAAGCAGAGAAATGCCTGCTTTGCTAGAGGAGGCAGCAGTTGCTTGAGCTTATCCCACCTTATAACTCATTGGTTAGAGAGCTTATCTGGGGTGTGGGAGAGCCTGGCTCAATTGCCCCATCTATTCCAGGGAGGGGTGGGTGGGAGGAGATTGAAACCGGTGCCCCACTTTCCAACAAAGTGCACAAACCATCTGAGTGTAGGATGTTCTGCTAGAGATGCAGCCGTGTTAGTTCTGTCTTTTGTTTCAGCTAGACCAGACTATGTAGCACTTTAAAGACTAACAAGATGGTTTCTCATCACCTAATAAACCATCTTGTTAGTCTTTAAAGTGCTACATAGTTCTGTCTTTTGTTTCGGATATTCTGCTGTGGGACTATTGTTACAACTTCAGGGTAACTGTATTTCTGTGGCCCCTCTGTCTCGGCAAGGCACTGGCATAAGATTTCCAGCAGTTACCTCACTCCAGCCTGGTCATGGCTTTATAGCTGCACAGCCTCCCTGTCGAGGGGCAGGACCCCTCAATGGTCGGGACACCCCAAAGTTGGGGTCAATCTCCCTTTTTCGCAGGGCAAATACAGCCCTAGTCCCAAACACAGTCCCCTCTCTCAGAGTTACTCTGGCCTGGAGGCCCAGTCCGCAGGTCAGGCTCCCCACGTTGTCAGGGAGCAGATTACTGGGGGGTGGAGGGACCCAGGCCCTCCCGCTCCACCAGGTCTCAGTCCAGGACCCTGTTGGCAGAGTAGGGTTTCACTGCCTGCTCAGCGGGGGTTCCAGCCAAAATGCACTGAGCTCCTGGAGGACAATCCTCCCCCCTGGGCCACTTCCTACCATCCCCGGCGTGCCACTCAGCTCTCGGGGCGTTGCTCAGCAGGCCTCCCTGGTAGGGGCTGTCGCTGTGGTTGAAGCAGTTGCTGCTCCTGGGGCGGCTGTGGCTGCAGGGGCCGCTCAAGAGTTTCTGGTCTAAACTCCTTCCTCTCTGGCAGTCCACCCTGACTGACCTGCTCTGCTGCCTCTTATACTGCTCCAGCACTTGGAACATGCCCAGTCTGGGAAAAGGGGCAGGACTTCCTCTGCCCACAGAGGCTAACCCCACCCCCCCTTCAGTGCAGGGTCCCCTCTCCCCATCACACTCCCACACATGTGCTATCCCCACCAAGCCACTTTGCTTAAGGACTGGTGCCTGTGTGCTGCTTTCTCTCTGAGGCTATGAACAGGATAGTGCCAGCCAGTTATAAGTGATCACACTGCTCCTTCTAAGCAAGCACCCAAATTCTTAAGGGAAAAGCATTAAAGAGAAAATGAATAAACAGAAATTTCTTTACACATGCTAGGGGTTACCAATCTGTTTTATGGGGATTTGGGAGGGTAAGGGCCTTCCAACTCTTCCACAAGGATTGGGGTTCCTTGGACAGAAAGTCCTGTCCATTTGCTGGATCACAAAAAAGGTCCTGAGTCTAAGAACAGCCTTTTTAAGGCAATATCCCTCTCTTCAATTTCCTAGTCTCTGGGAACCCACCTTGAACCAGTTGTGTGACTCTACTAGGACGTACATTATAGACACTCCAGAAGGTAGTGAGTAACTTTAATTCATCCTCCAACACACTTGCACATGCACGCACACTTGTTCTGTTTATGAGGGAGTTCCGGTAACCCTCTATCCAGAGAGCAAAACACATTCATACAATGCCGGGTCCACAGTAATATAATACACCCCCTCCACACACAAAGACACTGCCTGTGGTTGCAATATTTGTTACAGGGCTCCCTCAATCTTTCTTTAATGCTGTTACCCTGTGGATAGACAATGAATGATTCTAGCAGGGAGATTAGACTCAGGCTCTTCCTTGGCCCAGCTGGGTACCCCTACCTCCAGACTACACAGTCATTCTGTCTCTTGCTCTCCAGCCCAATGGCTTTTCCACTATGCATAAATAATTATTTATCCATATTGAAAAAAATCATTGGGAAAGAGCAAGCTAGGGCAGCCGCATGGGAGGTGGGCTACCCAGAGTCCAGTCCCTCTCATACAATCATGCTTTCATTATTTATTCACAAAAGATCAGCTTTAACATGAGATTGAGGGAGAGCCACATCAGAATAACTCAGTGATTACAGAGAGACATGAGACTATCCTGTTCACATACTTTCTACCTATCAGGCACAAGGGAAAATTTGAACCTTTGACTCCCACATCCCAGGTAAGTGTTTTAAAAGATACTAAGGGGCTGTACCCTCTGCTTGCCATGCTTGCCAACACCCCCTTCCCCAGCTGCTTTTGTTTTGCTGAGACTGATGATGTCATTCTGTTAGGAACATTCTGTTATCCAGCAGGAAAAAATTTTATATACATACAGAAAAGGTGGGCACGACTGGCTCACCCCCACTCATGAGATTGGCAGATGATGCACATCTTCCCTGATTAATTGGCTGCTCTTGGGCTTAGGCTAAAGATAGGTGGCCAAACAGAGTTAGTCGCTGTTTGTTCTCAGAGACTAAAACTTGGGTGCTAAGAAAACTTTCATCTAAAAATTTTGGTTCTGGAGGAGTTTAGGTGCCAGTAGAGTTTGACAGCAGTTTCGTGAATTACAGCAAAATCAAAACATGAGACCGAGGCACCAAAGTATATTTGTGGATTGGGGCCATCAAACAGAAAACTTTTCCGTTAAAAGCATTTCTGGAAAATCATGCCAGTTCAGAATAAAACTCTAGAAATGCTGCCTGTATTTCAAATGGGGGGGAAGAGGGGGAGAAATGTGATAAAAATTGTAGAGGTGATGTTGTGAGACAGCACTTAAAAAAAAAACAGACTGAAGCTTATTAACTACAGTTTATTAATATAGGTAAATGCTTTATATTTACTGATAGTCATTTCACTGCAGGGGATAGCAAATGTCAGAGTTCCCTCAGCTGATCTTCAGGACTTCGGTCACCATTGTTCCTATTCCATCAAAAATTTCATGCAAAGGAGCTTTGCACATGAAAGCACAAGTAGTGACTATTTTGTTGGTGGTATCCACATGTGATTCAGTGACATCTTTACAAATGTGCTTGCATCCAAGTTCTGCTATAGCAGATGCTGTTTCCGCATCAGGGAACCTGTTAACATTAAAAGGAAAAATATTGTAGCCATCTGATTTTGACAACTAATTTCAGTGAGAGAGTTTCAGAAATATTTGAATTACTTCTAGCACAGCTATGATTTAGTCACAGAGGTTGTGGAAATCAAAGACTTCTGTGACTTCAGCCTGCAGCAGGATCTCCTACCACCTGAGGGGGAAGGGGCAAGGGAGCTATAGGTATCCCCACCCCTTCTGGTGGCCCACTAAGCTCCAACAGGCAAACCCCTGCAGCTCCCACCTCTCCAAAGCTGTCGAGGCACCCTTGGAGCTGTGGGCAGCAAGGGTATCCTACAGCTGCCAGCTGCTGCAGGCAGTAGATGTGAGGGGATCCTGGAACTCCAAAAGCCAACCGGAGCTCATAGCTGCCACACAAACTGCCCCACTACAGGCAGTATCTGGGTATCTGCTGATCCTCATTTTGTTACGGGCAGGCCATGGCTCCTGTGAATGTTTCTTTATTGCCTATGGCTTTTACTAAAAATCTCTAACAAAATCTTAGCCTTAGTGATGACAAGATGAGATCTGGGACAGTCAGATTTCAGATCTACAGAAACTTAAGCAAAGTACTCCCTCCCTCCCACACCCTATTTACCACTAATCTGTTATCTTGTCAAATCAAGATATTTTGCCATCAGAACAAGAACATAAGAGTGACCATACTGGGTCAGACCAAAGGTCCATCCAGCCCAGTATCCTGTCTGCTGACAGTGGCCAATGCCAGGTGTCCCAGAGATAGTGAACTGAACATATTCTGATCAATTGATCTCTCTCCTGCCATCCATCTCCACCCTCTGACAAACAGAGGCTAGGGACACCATTCCTTAGCCATCCTGGCTAATACCCATTAATGGACTTAACCTCCATGAATTTATCTAGTTCTCTTTTAAACCCTGTTATAGTCCTAGCCTTCACAACCTCCTCAGGCAAGGAGTTCCACAGGTTGACTATATGCTGTGTGAAGAAGAACTTCCTTTTATTTGTTTTAAACCTGCTGCCTGTTAGTTTCATTTGGTGGCCCCTTGTTCTTATATTATGGGAACAAGTAAATAACTTTTCCTTATTCACTTTCTCCACATCACTCACGATTTTATAGACTTCTATCATATCCCCCCTTAGTCTCCTCTTTTCCAAGCTGTAATAAAACCCCATGATCTGCACAACTGAAACACTGTAACATCTTTAGATGAATTTATGAGGTGATGTCACTTTAGCTCCTCTTCTTGGCCCTTTTAGAGAAACTGCCACAACATCTGAAGCAAAGTGATTTTGTTGTAAGACTAGCTGGGGGGGAGGAGGAGAGAGAAAAGATGGGTGCAACAGCTGGGTTGCAAGTCATCACTCTTATCTGGCTCTACTGAATTTCATTATTCAGA